TTTATTCATATATATATATATATATATATATAGTATAATTTATTCACTTTTTAGAATATTCTGTGTAATTATGTAATGTGCACCGAAGAAAATCGTTTTATGTAATACAAAACTAATAACAGTTTTGTCTATTCATAATACTTGAAAATTCCTCACGTCTTCTCACTTGGTGAAACTAATTGCGCTGAATAAGATCGAAAATATGAGCTAAAAAAGATCATTTCGAAAGAAAAAAAAATAATAGATTGCACTAATTAGAACTGTTCATCGTACTTAAATAATTACATCTTTCGTCGAAAGTACATATATTACAAGAATTTGTAGAATTTATTTAAATTTTAGCAATTGCCAATTGTTTCTCATTTGTTCGGAGAATATCACTCTATATTATTAATCTATTTTATTAATGTCAGTAGATAATAAGTGAGATCTTACTAAAATATTTTTGCTTAAAAATTACAAAATTTAATATAAAAATGGTGACTTTAAAAAATTTTTATAGAATATAATAAATAACATTATACTATTTCATAGAAAAAAAACAAACATTGTATTTAATTGAGATGTGTGTATTGAATGGTATATTATGCTTATTTAAAATGCATAGTATAAATAAATATTATCATGATACATTCAATAAAAAGAATAAAGAATAAATAAAAATTAAATTTACTAATATAAAAATTTTTATTTAAAGAAAGAAAATGTACGATAAAAGATTTGGAAAAAGATTAAATGCTGTTAAAGAAGGGAAACTTTCCATCAATTTATTTTTCATCAATCTATTTTTAAAATTTTCATTTTTTTAATTATTTAAAAATAAATTTGAATCACATAAATTATAATACTGAAATCTGCACCTATATATCTCTGATTCACATTTAGATTTTAGAACTAATATTGATTATTGATTTCAATTTTATTACTCGCGTTGCAATATGTAAGCGCTAATTAGATTTATTATTCTCATAAAATGTAGTAATGTATCCAGAAAAAATGATAAAGCATTATAAAAAATAATCCATATTCAGTAGCCAACGTCTCAGCCAATTGAGAATAATGTTTTATTTCAATGAAATTAAAAAATATAAGATAGTAATGAAACTGAATAAAATTTTTCATAAAATACCTTTTATGATTAATTATATTTATTATATATTTTAATAATTCTTTCTTATTGGACAAAATTATCAATTTTTATTCATATATATATGTATCTGTATATATAGAGTAATCCGGAACTGATGTCCCTACTTGATAGCTCATTCTTATATAATGTAAAAAAAAAAAAACTGTACTTTTGATATTTTGCTGAATCGAGCAAATGATATGTCGAGACGCAAAATCAATATCGGCAACTGTAAGCCTCATCCTTTCCGTCGCATTGCCGCAACGTGACGCAATCTAATTTCTCACGCTTTGCGACAAACTTACTAAAATATTTTCTAATAATATATCTCTAGATATTTTTATAATTGAATAATAACAAGGAAATTAAAGCAAATTTCATTTCAAGATCACTGCTCACAGCAATTTGCATTTTTCATCGCATCGATAATTCTGTTGGAGTCACTTGTTCCACTTATTCAGACAGTTATAAATTTGCAAAAAATAATCAAAATATAGATATGAATATTTTAGAATAAGAGGAAAATAACGAAAGAAATTTCATTTTATAAGTCAATAAAAATTTTTGAAAATTCTAAATGCCTAAGATGCATTCTTTTTTATTTTCTATAATTTAATGTTTTTGAAAACTAATTTAAACTTTGTTACTTTCTTGTCATAAATTTCACAATGTTATCTATCTGTTAATTGCATTTTTTTCCATTACAAATTCTGCCATGATTTAAATTTCTCAAACTATTTTTCCGTGTTTCAGTTTCTGCAACTCTTCATTATTCGAGATTTTGCAATTCTAGATCGAAATCAAAATACTTTACGTTTTCTAATTTCTTCTTTTTTTCATATTATCTTTCTCCGTAAATCTTTATTACAAGTTCTTGTGTTTTATGTTTATATCAAACTTCTGAGACTTAAATCTTTAAAATTCCTCATTACGAAACGTTCTATTTAAACTTAATTATTTCTGTGAAATGGCCATTTCGAGAAGCAATATCAGCTTACATATTTATTAATGCATACAGGAGCTACTATTAAAATATATTTGCAAATAATGATAAATTCACATGTATGTGTCTATATACATATTTACTATAATAGATTTATATATTTTCCTTATGCATATTTTCAGATATTTGAAATCACTATTATGTGATATTTCAAAGTCAAGTCACTAGTTTTGAATAAATTTTAGATAGTTAATAAGAATCAGCTGCATTTTATGAGGAAATTGCGATGTGGTCGAACGTTCATATTGACGAATGTGAGCATCGGTGGCGCAGTGTCGGTTTTTCTTTTTTATTACTCCCTTCGTAACGACGATTTCTGCACAGTGGTCGATCCAATCCAGTGACCGTGCGGTTCTACGTCACGCTGCATTATGCGGTATAAGTTGCTGGCATTAACGACAATCGAAATTATTTATTTAATCTGCGCGCGACATTAAGATGACTCGACCCTAAAAACGTTAGACTAAATGGATTATTTTGAAAAATGATTCAATCGACAAATAACGTCTCTTCTTGTCAGTACAAGTTTCTACTATTAATAAATCAGTACTATTAATAAATTATGACATAGTTTCGAATATGATTAATTTATCGATTGATACTTGATGGCCTAAAAAACGAAACGAAAAAGATACTTGAAAAAATCATGCAAATGCATTCGATAATTTTCTCTCACAACCTAATCATACTTTATATAAAAAACGGGGGCGAAACGGGGGGGAAACGAGAATCTCGATATTGGAGAAATTCATGTTTCCACAGCGGTGAGCTAAATTTAGAGAGCGTGAAAAACTTTTCATTAATGCCATTATTACTATTTGAGAGTCAGACTTTCCTATTATTAAATTATCTAAAATCGAACTTTATAGCTAACATACTAAATCAGATAATATTTAATTATTTTAAAAAGATAAAAGGAAATTTGATTTTCTGCTCTTTTATCAAACAGCAACTTGTAAAATGTATTGTATTAACTTCTTATAAAGTCTTACAACTTTGTCTTACAACTTGTTGTGTTGTTGTATTAACTTCTTTTAAAAAAAAGAATTTGTTACTTAAAATACATGTCTCTAATTGCAATATTCAATAAATTTGTTATATTTCCTAGTTATATTTCCTTAAGTTTGTTGTATTTCTTTAATAATAAGAAAAATATTTTAATAGTTTTGGAAAGTTCAAGAATCTTATTCTTCTATTATTTCTAATTATTGATTTGTTTTTTGCGTTCTTTGAAAATACAATTTCAATTAGTAGTTCTACTTTACTATTTATCCAAATTCTATGACACTATTTTCGCTTAACAGCAAGACCATGCAATATATTGCGGAGAAAGCGCTGCACTAAAGTCCCTGATATTAAAGGGCTCTAAAATTTCAGTTAAAATAATATATTATTAGAAGGTAAAATAATCAAAAATCATGTTCTTAACTTTTTAAATAATAAAAAGACAAAACAGTAAACGATAATAAGCGTTTCTGAGTTTAACCCAAAAAGGCAGTGAAAAACAAGCAAATAAATAATCAAAAGAAAAAGTTTAGTTAATAATACGTAGTTAATACGTAGTTAATACGTAGTTAATAATAGTTAATAATTAAAATTATAAATTTGTCAAATGGTAAAACCATAAAGTTAATGTAGTGATAATTCTGCATCCCCACAAAGACACTTCACAATCACTTTGACACAACGACACAATTATCAAAAACTGACATCTCGCAAAGCGAGAAGAACTATCGCATAAAGTAACGAGGAAGGTAAGAAAAGTCGGGAGTAATAAAAAGGAGGGGGGTTTTTTTTAGAGGGGGACTTAACAGAAGTGAGCATAGTAGAAAATTGAGAAAGTTAAGTGGGAGATAGCAAGTTAAGGATCGACGGTTAATTATTTGGTGAAAGGTCGGTATTCTATTTGTTCAGACCGTGATGCTGTTTTTTTAATACAAATCATTTCATGATATTAAACTTTTTTTCAAAGAAAGGTTCAATATCAAGAATTGTCTCATTTATTTATTATTATTCATTTGTTTGCTTTTCACCGTCTTTTTGAGTTACTTATTATTTTTTTATTGACCTTACTTCGTTGACTTTAATTTATTCTATTTAAAATTTATTTTATTTTATTTTATTCTATGACTATGTAATTTTTTTTTTTACATATTTTCTCATTTTCCTACAATGTTCAATTGAGATTTATAATTCGGATTATATTTCGGATTACCTATGAAATGTTTACTTATTTTCGTTACTCTCGACCATATTTTTACAATGGACAGTGATGAATATTGCATTTTGCAAATAATTTTACAAAATTGACAAACATGAGAATGATATACTAAGCTTGTGTGTAAAAAAAAATGTGTAAAAAAATTTTTTGGAATTGACTACATATTTCTCATATTTCTGTAAGGTAATCTTTTTATTATGATTATGATGCAAATTTATTGTACCTTATATTTTTATTATTTATATTGTTTTAATAATATTATAGAATATTATTATTGTTTTATACTTATTCTTTCTTCTTTCTTTCGTTCGAAGATTATTATTTTTTGAGCTTGTTATATCGTCCGTTAAACACATTTTTAACAAGAATTGCATTTCAAGTGAGCTATGACACGTGTGTAATACAATCGCACGAGATGAAATATACCGGCCTACTCTTTCCTCTTCTGATAACGTGCCGATCGCATCGGAAGAACTTTTATTCGTCAAAGGAAAGGAAGAGCTATCGGCACTTTTTCATCAGTGAGATTGAACGATGAAAGAGGCAAAGGCGGACATGTATTCGCACAAAGGCAGGAACATGTTTCCTCCGTCCTTTGTCACTTTCAATTCTTCTAATCCGTAACGTTCGATCAATTTGCGGGTAAAATGCGAACAACTGACAAAACTATTGCAGAGGAAAATTTTAAAAAGCTGCAATTCAAATGTATCACTTTGTATATTCTAAAGATCCATACGCTAAATTGAAATTTCTCGGATATTTTGCGCTTACAGTTCAACAAAAATTGACTGATTTAACTTTTGACAAGTAGTTGTGTTTTATCGGCAGGATTTTGCGCGCCTAAGTTCCTTATTATTATTTTTTTTTTTGAATTTTGTATAGTCGGGATAATCCTTTTATAATTTCGATAATTTTGTTTCTTATAATCTAGTTCTACATTCAAATCCTTGTTGAAATGATATTTTTCGCAATAAGAATTTCTTGGGAAAGGAATATATTTGATCTATTAAAGAGGAACATTTACTATTTAGCTGCAATTCCATTAAAAAATAACGACATGATTAACTATGAATTTATATATATAAATACAAAAAAATAAAGAAATTATGAAACTATGTAAGCTCTTGCTTGCTACTATTGTTTTGCTTTGAGTATATCCTCAACTTATTACAATTAATTGTTTAAAAAGTGACTTTTTTCGAATACAAAAATAAAATCTTTCGTACATTTATATTTTATTTCTACATTCGTATTTTTATGTTGTTTTATTCATTTCTCTTCTAAACGAGAAAGACGATAGTATAGAATTATGTAATTTATCAAATTTGCTGCTAAAAGTTGAAGGATGATAAATAATATGGCTTCTCATTGATTTGTAATAAGAGCGCTGAAAAAAGAACCTTACTCGCTTTCGTGTAGAAATGGAAATAAATACGGAAATAAATACATGCCAATTTTCGAGTTACGAATTTACGAGCTATAACTCAAGGTAAACCCTGCAAATAACTGAAACTTTTCTCCTTTCCCAGTATATTCGTGCTTCAGGAAGCGTGAAGGTTAGCTGACCTTAGTCTTTCATGATGTGAATTTTATTATTACAAATCAATAAAACGGAGTTCTCATGTGAAAAGAACATTCGCTTCTTTCTAGATTGACGGTTTTTATTTTACATATCATTTGCAATATAATCTTCATTAAAATAATATGCAATAACTAATAATTATGTTGAAAAAGATTACATGAAAAGATAAGTCAACTCTTGTCGATGTAACGATGAAAATAATAAAGATATTTATTCTTTATTCTCAAATAAAAATTTTCTTAAAAACTTGAGTCTAATACTAAGACTATCTATAAGAGATATATTACCTATAAGAAAAAAATTTTTTTCTGATCTTTGAACAACTTAGATATTTTGTGTAGATTTCTGAATACTAGAAACAAATCTAACATTCAAATTTATATATTACGTCAAAGTTGCAAAAATAACAAGTTATAAAGTTCATAAGAAAAATATATTGTAGAATATATAATTGTATAGAAAAAATCATATAATAATATATATTTTTATTTATATATATATTTTTTTATTGTACAATATATATTTTATTATATAATTATATATATAATTGTATAATAAAAAAAAATATATATTATACGAAAATTGTTCGGAAAAAAAGAAAGTTTTTTAAATACTTGCAAATACTTAAAATACTTGCAATTCTCTGTGATAATGTATTATTCTTTGCTCTTTTTATTTAATTTTTGCAGAATCGTTATACAAACTTCTCCTATCTCGCCAATCAAATGGGCTTTTAACGTAATGGACTGTTCTATACGCAAAAACGCATCTAGTAATCGTTTCTCCGAATGAAAATAGTTGACTCATTTTACACGAAGATACATAAAGAGAAAAAAATTGCGAGTACTTTTGAAATTATCGAGTTCCTAGCAAATACATAACGAAAACGTATATTGATTCGAAGGTAATACTAAAAGTGAAATGTCGGCTATCCCATAGTAAACTCGCTATAACTAGCGTAATAACTAGCATAGCAATCATATTAACATAGCAATCCTGGTTTTTTGCTTAATGTGATTCACATTAGCAAGTAAATCAGGAAATTTGGAAATCCAATCAATCAATTTTTCAAAAATAATGAAAAATGTAATAATGTTATGTTAAAAGATCCTCTTTAATATCTATTAATATATTTAAATTTTATATATATATATATATATGAAAAGTTACGTCATTCCAAATAAATATATGGCAAAATATAATACATATTCGGATATATAAATATTAAACAAATATTTCATTTCAGTGAAAAATATAATTTCTATAAATAATAAAATTTTAGTGATAAAATCCGAACATATATTAAAGTGTATTATAAATTTTTTAGCAACAATTGTGCTTTGTTAGCACATTTATCATTCTGCAAATAGAAAATACTGACAATGTAATCATTAAAAACACATATAATATATTAAAACAAATATTTTGTTTCAATAAACTGATAGAATTCTGTAAATAGTGAAATTTTAATGAAATCCGAATCATATTAAGTAGGCATATTATAAAATTTTTAACAATAATTGTGCTTTTGTTAGCACATTTATCATTCTGACAGAGAGCGCTGACAATTATGACATTAAACTGTACGTATAAAAATTATGGGGACAAGATTATTGCGGTAGTTTCGTCGAAAATTAATAGTGAAATCTTCATAACTCCACATAAATTAAAAAATGAAAGAAGCACACTTTTGACACTGAAGCTATCCATCTTTCACCGTTCCATCAGATTTAGTGATTTAGTCAAATCACGGTTTAGTCCGCCGTGGAGAAGAAAATTTATGCAATGCATACGATGTAAATCGTGCCGAACCCGTGCCGTAATCTAACGAAAATCGATAAATTGATTCGATTTCGATAAGACGAGGGATGCTGTATTTGACCGAAAGGAGCACGATACTCGATCGACTTTGAATTGATAAAATATGCTTCGTTTAAACGAAACATTTCGGACGCATACAATGGTATAGCGCAAAAAGTTACATAGAATCTGTCAGACTACAATTACCGCATAATTGCAATAAGAACTGATCAATTACATATTATATTCGTAGTGATATATAATAGGAATGTTAAAAATAATGAAAACATAAAATAGAATTTTAATTGAAAAATCAATTTCTGTAAGAATACAACGTTTAAAAAAAAAAATAATAAAAGACTCTCTTGGCTTCCAAATTAACGTATTCTAAAAAAATGTATCTTTTTTTAAAAAAATATCCTTTCATCTCTGAACTTCCACTTAGTAAATATATATCAAAGAAAAGCGACATAATAAGTTAAATTTTTAATATAGAGAATTGTAAAAAATGATAGTTACATAATACATAACATAATTCATTAATTTTAATAAATATGAATTAATATGAGCAATTTTTTATCTATCATTTTAGCTAAGATAATATCGTATGAAAATATCGTATAAAATAATTTAAGCAATGCATATTCTAATCATTTTTTCAGAGTTTAATTTTGCAATATATGTAAAATATATTTTTATTTTTTTATTTCATATCGTATATTTCTGTTTCATAGACATTATATTTATTATTAACAAATACTTTACAAATCTATATCTATATTTTATATATATTATAAAATTTGTGTAAAGCTATTATAGAAAAATAAAAATAAAAACATAAAATATTTGTGAGTTTTTAATTATGTCTTTAACTATGCAAATTATATTACATTGTGTGTCCCATAAATATTTATTTATACAACAAAATTGAAAAACTCAATTCGGTTTAAGAGAAAAATCTTTCACTTCATTTCTTTATATAAATTTCTTTATTACTATTTTTAATTTTATTAATAACAGAAATTGAAGCAAATTAAAACAAACTGAAAGAGATAAAATCATAAAGCAATTAAATTA